GAGAATGGAGGAGAAGGGATTGAGGCGCGGCCATCACCCTGGGGGGTGATTTCTCGCCTTTTCTCTCTCTGTCTGTCTCTGTCTGTCTGGCGAGCGCATGTGCCCTATAGCAAAAACCTCTCCAAAAAAAAGAAGTACCAATTCTTGGTCCTTCCATCTCTGTTCTCTTAAGGCATAAGAAACACAGAATCATCTTACGTATGGTTGAGGGCTCTCGCCGCCCCCAGCACAAGGAATGCATCGTTTACTCATTTCTCTGAATAGGTCGAGGGAAGTCACATGTTCATGCTCTAGCACGTATGTTTCAGAGCCTCGGACAGGCCCTTCCAGTGTCTTCCTGCCAACACCCACACCTCTGGGAATGTTCGTACCTTGGGGACTGGTCCTACTAGTCCTGCCCTGCGGGAGGCCAGTGACTAAGACATGGATCAGGTCAGCACCTTCACCTTTTGTCTTGAGAAGATGATGCTTACTTGGTGGTACCCTGCTCAAACCCCATCCATCACATGAAGAATGAAGCAAATCAGAGGGGAACAGGCCAGAGATGTAATGGGGCTCAGGAGGATCATCGTTTTTTAGAATAGGATCTCACTATGCTGGCTTTGAACTTGTGGTTCTCCTGCCTAGCCCCCAAGTAGCTAGGCCTACAAGTTCCTTCCACCGTGCTCAGCCTCAGGAGAGCCACCATAACCCTGCAGTCCATGCAGACTCGCTCTCACCTCGCTGTCGGCGTCCTCACCGGGATATCGTAAGCCCGGATAACGTTCACCAGCACCTTGATGTCTCCGTCAGACAGGTTCTGGGCTGTCACCTTCTTCCGACCCCTTCTCCTTGGCCTCAGTGGTCGCTTTTGTTCAGCCAGTTTGAAAAGGCTTAGGCCCAAAATGCTAAGGAGTACACAATAGGATTAGGGCTCTAGGAAAAGAAAAATCTGGAAAATTTTGAGGTGACATCCAAACTCTGCCCTGAGGTCTCTTTTAGACCTTGAAAACACTTTGTTTTTAAGAGAGGGTTGGAAGTCTTGAAATTCTCCCAAAGGGGGAAGTCCTACATAGATTATTAAGATTTTTATCAGCCTCTATTTATCAGGGGAAGAAAAGCCATCTTCTGGTGTCTACCTGCAATTCCTGCCCTGATCTCCCCCTTGCTTACCAAGCAGCGCCTCACACCACTCTGCTCTCTCTCCCTTCACTTTTGCTCATGACATCTGCA